ATCTGGGCTTTTGACTCAATGAGGCACCTGTAACTATCTTTACAAGAGTTAAAGAAATACAGATGGAGATTCACGGGTATTCCACCACTGTCGCCCTCTCCATGTTCTTATTCTCTTAGCTTTGATTGGGCAAAAATGACTCGACACAAAAGGGATCAATTTGTGTCAACTCTTCCAGCACTGGTTGTCCCACTGCCCTGAACACCTGGACAGCAGACGCAGCTTGTCCTGACTATAACCACTTGCTATGTTTTGCATAGCCACTAGGGTCAATACCTACCAAGAATTCTAACCATTATAATTAGTGTCATTAATCTGGCAAATGTAAGATCAAGCCTGGAAGTCCTCTTTTAGAATTTATCTGGAGTTTTGGCAGGGGGTAAGAGGGATGCTGTTCTCTCTCCAGTAGAGCCTCCATCAACTTCAATTAGATTTTTGTCTAAGTAAGGACTGAGTAAAAAAAGGTTCAGATTATTAAGGCAGTTACACCATCAGTGAGAAATCAGAAATTGGACCTGAGTAAGGAAGACACTTTTCCTACACCAGACAGTTTAAAATGTAAAACCTCTGGAAGGTAACATTATCATTTTATAGCAACAACAACAAAAGGAGTATTTATTTCATCCATGGCTCTTGATTGGGTGCTGTCTTCAAAGTTCACTTGTGGCTATTTAAATATGAACACTGTTAAATAAACATAAAAAGAGTTTCTATCCACCTATCCAAATCTGGTCTCCATTACTATACTGAGCACAACACAATCCTATTTATCCTCACAACAGCCATGAGGTAGAGAAGTGCTAGGATCACCATTTTACGGATTAAACTATTTGCCAATGGTCACACAAGAAACCTAAAGCTAAGCAGGGAACAGAATCCAGACTTTCCATCTAGTACTCTAATCACTAGACCATCCTTCCCTATTCTATTTTTGGAAGATTGAGACCTTATCTACTCTGGCACTTTTTGTCACCAAAAACTGCCTTTTGTTGAGAAAACAGTCAGAGTGTACACACGACAATGTGACTTTTGTTAGGAAAAATACCGAGTTTTGGTAACAAAAAGCTTCCAGCCCTGCGAGAGACTTTTGTCTTTTCCCCTCTCTCTATTGCGGGCAAAGTCCCAGGTCAGACTCTGTTGTTTGTTGAAAGAACTAGCTTCCGCCGTACTCCACAATGCTTGCCCTGATGCCTCTGCTGAGTGTTGTGTGATCTCTGCTGCCCTGCAAGTATGCACTCCTTCTGTTTCAAAGCTCTGGAAAATATCTGACAGCTGAGTGAGTTGCTGTTTGGGGAACAAACAAAGAGCAAATCATTGGAATGCTCCCATTCTGCCCTGCTAGAAACACAGCAGCAGGCAAACTGCTGCTTCAGGGGGAGGGCTCGAGAGACTACTGTGTGGCTTTGACATTCCTTAGCACAGAGAGCTCACAGAGCTACTCACAATGCTGCTCCCAGCAGCTGAGAATGATGTGGGAGAACTCTGAGAGAATCTCAAAAAGCACAGAGATCAGTTCTGCCTTCCTACAATGCTGCACTGTGGGATGCTTACCCATATTTCCTTGCTCTGTCTGTCGACAGGGGAGCTATCAATGTAGCCATGAAATATTGACAATGGGAGGCAGAAAACCCAGTTTGACTGTTTTTTTCTTTTGCAGGTTGACAGCACTTTTGTCACCAAACCTTCCCAGTAAGACACAGCCTAAGATTGAAAAGAATAAGTGGTCAAAATGTCTTTAGATACCCAAAATACCTAGCAGCCTCTGCACACAGCCTACATTATTTGGTTTGTCCTTTTTCAGAATTTTGTCCCCTTTACATGGAAGTTTAAAAGATCCAGGAAGCTATGTCAAAGTTGGAAGAATCTATGGATTTTCTCCATCCACGGATCTGGATTATTCTTCAGTACTGAGAAGGTAATTTCATGTTGTTAATTTTTTAAGATGTTTCAGTTAAATTTCACAGACTCAGAGTATTGTGACTGTCCTCCAAGGGATTATTAGGGTCTCATGAATAACTGTAATTGTCCCCGCACATCTTTATACACTTACTAGTACAGGCCTGGACAAAATATGGCCCGTGGGCCGGCTCCAGCCCGTGGAGGCAGCGAGGAGCCTCAGGCAGGCTCCCAGGCTTGCCCCACCACCCTGCAGAATTGCAGCTGGCAGGGCTCTATTTCTGTTTTAAAACTGGAAGGGAGAGGGAAGTATTAGGAGCTGCCCCGCCCCCAGCACATTCTCATTGGCCGGTTCTCCTGCCCCAGATCACAGTACCCTCCTACCCTGGGTCACATCCCAAACCCCTGCACTCCGAACCCTACCCTCCAGTCCTCTGCCCTAGGTCACAACTGCCTGCTTCATCCCAACGCCCTCCCAGGCTCCAGGCTCCCTCCTGCACCCCAATCCCTTCCCCCAAGATCCCTTCTGCACCCAACTTCCATCTCAGACCCCCCATCTCCTCCATTAATATCATGGAAGAGTGTGGCCCTCAACCACTTTCCAAAAATCGTGGGACTGCCCTCCTCCCGTCAAAAATTATTGCTCACCCTGTGATAGCAGCACTGACAGTACCATGGGGTTCTAATTATCAATAAAAAGATTATCTTAAGTTTAAGCGAAAAATGAGACAACTTTCAAGAATCACATGCATAAGCTGTGACATAGGGCCATGATGTATGATACTAACAGGCAATTTCTAGGGTTTAGATGTTTCCTTCTTTAGCTTTGGAGTAGTCCATGTCATCAGTATCTATGGAATTCATGCAGCCTCTCTGAAATCAATGACATTATACAGGGCACAACTCAGGGCAGTACGTGACCCTGGAAGTTTTAAGTAAGATTATCAAGTAACTTTCTGACTTCACTTCTCTCATGAACTCTGGATTCTCTTTTAACTTCATGCTTTTAATTAAAATAAAATTTAGTTCTGGTCTTTCATAAATCCTCACATGATTTGGTATCATCCATAGATAACATCTACAGTAAAATCAGTAAATGTGTTCAAATTTATACAGACAAGGTGGATTCGATAATTTCTTTCATTGGACCAAATAATGCTCCATTCAGTTACTCTCATGGTCCTCCCTGAGGGCATATAAAGGAACATTTCATTTTGTGGTTGGGTCTTCCATGAGCAATCCCTTTATTATCATGATTATGTTGGCAACACCCAATTTATTTGCCCAACCCTTCCTCAAGGATCTCGCATCTGTAGTGTGGAACAGGTTCAGTCTTGAACACCAGGGATTTTATTGCACACGCACACACACATCACCACTTGGACTGCTTTTGATTCAGTCAAGTAAGTCAGATGGAACCTAGGAAGATTATTTTTAACTCAAAAATTCAATTACAATTTTATTAAAAACAGTTTACTTAATCTCAGGACAATGTCTAGATTAATTCCTACATCAGCAAAGAGAGATTATCACAAGTTGCTGATCCATGATTCCTGTTATGCAGGAAGAATAAAGTTCATTCCTACAGCTAGAACATAGAGTGACCTACACAAAGAATGCTTCCCCAGTTATCACATCTAATATCATTAGCTCACAGACATTACCTTCCCCCCTCATCCCCCTTCTGTTCTGAAATTTGATTTGTCCTTTTCATATGTGTTCATTTTTTTTAATTATATCCTTTGGTATATATGGTTGTGACTATTTTCTTCCACTATTTGATCTGAGGAAGTGGGTCTGGCCCACGAAAGCTCATCATCTAAGAAACCATCTTGTTAGTCTTTAAAGTGCTACATAGTCCTGTATTTTGTTTCAGCTACACCAGACTAACACAGCTGCATCTCTATCACTATTCTACACAAATGGGAGCAAATTTAAAAATCAGCAGTAACTACTAATGTAAACTAAAGATTTACTAGCATGCATCAGTTTCTTCATTGGCTTCAGTCTGCTTTTCCCTAGTGTGAGTACACTTGCTTAAGCGCTTCAGTCTCATGCTACTACTACTGCAGCTGCTGCTGTCTTGAGTTGAGAACAGCGGAGGCCTTTGGGGGCAACGTCCCTTTGTTGTCATACGCCCCTGCGCAGTAACTACTAATGTAAACTAAAGATTTACTAGCATGCATCAGTTTCTTCATTGGCTTCAGTCTGCTTTTCCCTAGTGTGAGTACACTTGCTTAAGCGCTTCAGTCTCATGCTACTACTACTGCAGCTGCTGCTGTCTTGAGTTGAGAACAGCGGAGGCCTTTGGGGGCAACGTCCCTTTGTTGTCATACGCCCCTGCGATGCAAGGTCAGCGTTTGCCACCAGGCTCACACGTCTCGCCGCACTAGTGCTGCCCCCCGCTCCCCCAGAGCCCTCGGTAGTGCGGAATCCCTACGGCAGAGAAAAGAACCGCGGTGATTTTCAAGGGGCCATTTCCGCCGGAGCTCGCCCTGGCTGCTGCCCCGGCGCACAGCAGCAGAGGGTCTGGGGCGCCCCGGGGTTTGAAGCCATGGAGCTTAGCTCAGACATTTTGTTTCAAAGCAGGGAGCACACCCAGCGGGTGCTGTGGGCGGCAACACGGCCTGCCCCGCTGCGCCAAGCGGCGGCGGTCGCAGCCCCACAACTTCTGCCAACAGGTGGCTGTTCCGCTTGTGCGCGGCCCGCAGCCAGGAGCCGACCCGCCAGCACGAAGCCCAGCCTCGCCCGCTTCCCGGAGGCGGCCCCGGGCTGCAGGAGAGCGGGAGGGAGGGACGCGCCGCTCCCACCTGCAGGCTCACCCGGGTAACGCGCGCGCAGCCCAAGGAGCCGGCGGCGGAGTTTGAAACCTGCCCCCCACCGGAGAGATGCCCGCGCCCCCTTCCCCTGCCCGCCGCGGGGACCCCCGGGCGCAGCCCGCAGGAGCACCAGGCAGGCAGCGAGCCAGGGCGCTGCAGCCTGGCGGGGCCACCGGCTCCCGCCCTGTCCTGGAGCCTGGCGGGGCGGCGGCCCCCGCGTCGCGCTGCAGCGGGAAAGTTTCTGTGCGGAGGGGAGGGAGAGTTCCCCGGCCCGGGCCTACTTACAGCCTCTTGTCCTGCGGCGCCAGCTGCCAGTGCATGGCCAGGGAGAAGCCGAACAGGCTGCCCGGCTCCCCTCGCCGCAGGATCACATTGTCCGCGTCCAGGGTGAAGGCGGAGGCGAGGCAGGACAGGAGGGACAGGTAGAGGAGCGTCTGCCCGGGAGCCATCCGTTCAGGCCGGGCGCGGGAACCTGCTACTGCTGCTGCCCCTCGCCTGAACGCGCCTGGCGCTCCCCGCGCTGCCACTCGCTCAATGAGCCCGTTGTTCTCCAGAGACTCCCAGCTTCGCACTAAGTGACGAAAAGAGGCGAGCCCCGCCTCCCCCACCCGCCGGGCTGGGCTGGGCTCGGCTCTGCGGCCCTCAGCCTCTCCCTGCCCTGCCCTGCCGTTCTGTCCCTGCCAACCTCCAGCCAGTGAGTAGCGCCACGAGGCTCTTCCAGACAGAAAAGCGCCGCTAAGCAACCTCTGCAACTGTCCAGGATTTAGAGCGTCGCCCAGCCCTGCAGCCTTTCCCAGGCTCCAGCCAGCCCTGCCCTATTCATTCCCTCCTCCCCCACCAACGTCTTGCCGGAGCACTCAACTGCTGCAATCAAGGGTCACCTGCAAGGGTGCTGTAGCTGCCTGGTTACTTATTCCCAGTTCCTTATTCCAGGGTTCTAAAACAGAAATGGAATAACTCACTGGGGTTCCAGTACAAAGAAGTGACAACAACTCCCGAATTACCCAAATCATCAGTATCTATGTCCATCTTACCTTGGGGAAAAGAGAAATTAAGAGCAGGGGTATCACACTGCAGCAAAATAAAGTTTTGTATCACTGATCTGCCCCCAGGCTGTTCAGAACCCTTCCACAGACACAGAAGAGTTAGGGTGACCCAAGAACTATGTTGTCATTTACATCTAGTCAAACCCCAGTTAATTATTCAAATCAAGAGTCCTTGAATAAGTAACCAACACCAAGCAAACATAAATCACCCAAGCACATTGATTTCATTCCCTTCTGGTGGCTTGGTCCCTCAGTCTAAAAATGATACCAGATGCTCCACCAAGGGCACCTCCCAACACCAAGCTGTCAGTTAAAAAAAGCAAACTGAAATGCTGAAAATTGATTTACTAATTTAACTAGCATGGAATATATAACAGCAATAACAAGAAATATCCAGTAGTAAATACATCCCAGGTTATGAGATAGTGACTACATTTCTAAAACATTTTAAGAACCCATTGCATCTTTTGAAGAATCCATTCTTGACAGCAGCACTCAGAACTTCATCTGTTTCCAGTGTTCACTATGGCTGTGTCTAGACTGGCAAGTTTTTCCACAAAATCAGATGATTTTGCGGAAAAACTTGCCAGCTGTCTACACTGGCCGCTTGAATTTCCACAAGAACACTGACGATCTCATGCAAGATCGTCAGAGTTCTTGCGGAAATACTGTGCTGCTCCTGTTCATTTGCGCAAGAGGGCCAGTGTAAACAGCACAGTACTGTTTTCCGCAAAAAAGCCCCGATGGCTAAAATGGCGATTGGGGCTTTTTTGCGCAAAACTGCGTCTAGATTGGCCACAGACGCTTTTCCGCAAAAAGTGCTTTTCCGTTAAAAGCATTTCCGGAAAATCATGCCAGTGTAGACGTAGCCTATAGGTATTCCTCTAAAGATAAACTAAAACAAAAACCACAGTCACCAATGTCAAGTATCAGAGGGGTAGCCGTGTTAGTCTGAATCTGCAAAAGCGGTGAGGAGTCCTGTGGCACCTTATAGACTACTTCAGTTAGTCTATAAGGTGCCACAGGACCAATCACCAATGTGTATCTATGTTAGTTATTTTAGTCCCTGCTGGAAAGCACACAGAAAAAAAAAACTTTACATATACATAAGTGTCTTCTCTAAACAGTCTTCAGAGCATTTGAGCCTCAAAACTCCATAATCTCTGAAGAGATCTGAGATTGCCCAACTCCTAATCTACAACTGTTAAAAATAGTATGCATATTATCTCATGCAGTCACGCAGAACACTGCAGTGTACATGACATTGGAAGGATAGAGTGTCAGCAGTGATTTTAGTTTTGTTTGAAGTTAACTTTTATTACTACATCCTGCATTTTCTTTTCCTAAAGTAAAGTTTAAAAAAAAACTATAAAAAAAAATCAATGGTGGCATGCCATAATAGTTTTCCTTGGCCATTAGTAAGTATTCTATGAAAGTAGGGGCAGGCCAAATTTCAGCTACTAAGATCAGCCATGAATCAGGAGTGATTATACCTATGCTTCCATAGTATGGGCCTTCCCAGGTCTTTCATCAAAATGCAAATATCATCATGACCCAAATGTACTTATAACACGATGATGGCTTGTGACTAGAATCTATTAGACATGAAGCTGACATGTTCAGTTTAATCAAGACAATACTGTACATGACTGGTTTGAACAGGCTGGTGTTTTTTCTCCTAAACCTTTTGCCAAACCCCTATGACAACATTACTGTAGTGGAATTATTTTGAGTGTTCCTCTATGAGCAATTGAGTCTGCTTGAAATGCCATTCAGGCAGATTTTTAAAGATTCATTTTAGCAAGGTCATCATAATATACTTATTATTTTCTTATGGTTATTGATACTGCAAATAAATTTTTAAAGAAGAGAAAATAAATCTATCTTCTTCTCTTATGAAGCGCCACCCCCCACCCCCCAAATGTGCTTCCATAGCCTGGAAATCAAAACACGTATCTGTTGAATTAGGCTCCATCTCTTCCTGTCTGATTTATTCAAAACCATTATCCATAATCTAGTGTTCTGTTACCTCACAATCATTCCTCATGGCATAGACTTGTGTTAACACAAAGACTAGACTGATTTCACAGGGGGAGAGGGCTGGACTCATAAGGGAGCAAACTTATTACAATTCATAAATGTGATGGTAAGTAGCAATTACTAGAAAACAAAAACAAGTGTGAACCCTTTAAAAATAATTTTGAGTTTTCCCCACAAATAACATCCAGCCTGTATACCAGGGCTGGGCAAGAGACTGTCAATGGGCCGGATCTGGCCCACCAAGCACTTTGATCCAGCCCATGGCAGCTCCACCACTAATGCGTTGCCTGGAAGCTGCTGGGGAGGCACAAACCCTTTCAGCTGCTGCTATTTAAAGGGCTTTCACCTCCCCTGCCGCTCCCAGGCAATGCATTAGTAACGGAACACAGGAAGCGCAAGCCCTTTAAAATTGCTGCTATTTAAAGGGCTCACAACCCCTGGAGCCGGAGCCAGAGCCGGGAGCCCTTTAAATAGCAGCAATTAGAAAGATTCCTGGCCCATGGCCACCCTGCGGCTCCCCCATACTCAAGCCAATCAAGACCTGGGGACAGGGGAGTACACAAAGTCTCCTCCCCCCGCCAGGGGCACAAAGCACCAGCAGGCTGTTCAAACAGCCAGCAGTTTTCTCTAAGCGCTTCATTCCCTTGGCAGTGAAGGGAGGGGAACTAAGACTTCATATGCTCCCCCACCCCGAGGCCAATCAAGGTGAGTAGGCTGTGAAGTCTCTTGCCCCTGCCCCCTTCAACCTGAGGCCCCACCCTTTCCAGGACAGCCCTCGACCTCTTCAAAAATTATTGCCCACCCCATTATATACTACAGTATTTTGAAAAAGTAGCAATAGCTCTGAATAACTTTGGCAGAAAGTAGGCTCATTCAAGTACTCAAACTAGACAATGGTGTCATGTTACATTTATTGGATCCCTCTCGCCAATGCTATCTTATACATTTTTATTTGTTCACTATTAGCCACATCAGTGGCGAGAGGATATCAATTTTACAGTTTCTTATTACCAGAATTAGTGACATTTAAAAATGTAGTTACATTGAAACCTCTCCTAGGACAAAAAGAAGAAATGGATTTTTTGTCAGATGGAACACAGATTCACTCAAAAGTTTTAGAGTTTCATTGGAATAGTCTCAAACAGGTGAGACAAGGTGGATGGAGTAATATTTTTATTAGACCAACTTCTGATCATGAGAAAAAAAATTAAGCTATAGATGATCTATTATCTACATTTCACTTTATTTTCTTGAATATGTCCTTCCAGGCAGGGGAGGGGAAGCAAGTGTGAAAACATAGGTTTTCTTCTTTATTCAAGTGACTTATGATATTGCAGAGATTAGGCCACATGCAGAAAAATGTTATGGGACATCTTCTAGCAACCAACACATTCTTACACACTTTTTATTTGGTCCTATCCCAGTATAAAGGAAAATGAAAATTTGGTATGATGATCAATTAGCTTTGACTGCTATAATAATATACATCATAATGCAATGAAAATAACTCACTACCCATGGCTACTGTCTCAGCCAGCTCAAAGCCATGTGTCCTTTCTCTAGTCTGACATGCTCTGCCATAGCTGAGCTTTCAGCTGCCTGATTATTAATGGCATGTTGGTATTCTGCCAGATGGGCTGCAAGACATTGGCCTGCTGTGCCTACATATTGAGCATCAGTGCCAAAAATGCTCTCCTCTTCAATGTAGCAATTGTTGATTTAATTATAAGAACTAATTTTTCATTTTTAGAAATGAAAGTGAAGAACTGGAGCCAGATAAGACATTTTAATCTATGTTCTAGAGAAACTCTAAAGAACAATGCCTTGCATTGTTGACCCTTTTACCTTTCAGATTACAAACACACCTTACATTTATTTGGCATAAAAAGTAGTGCATCATTTACTGGTATACGTAGATGCACAGCTGTGTATCTTTCACACTGCACATTTAAAAAAGCAAAAATGTGTTGACGTATCCCCTATTCTTCCTTATTAAATTCCATATACTCATTGATTATATTTAATTTCAGATGGAAAATTGGCTCAGGCCTGCATTACTAAAACTAGTTACAAGCTTCTCTAAATTCTTAATTGCATCAAAGATTTATACATGGAATCAACTCTTTTGAATAATTTCCTTAATGCAATGCCTTTACAAGTTTTAGAATTGCTAGCTTTCCCTGAAGACTTAGTTCAAAATAGCTGATGCCTCTGAATAGCAAAGCAAGCAGGTGAATAGACTATTACTCTTTTGTACACAAGGACATTTTTGCTAGAATTTTCACTACTGCTATTTTCAGTTCTGCTCCACTGGTGTTAGTTCTGGTGAGCAATAGAGTACACAATATGCCTGCAGCTGTTAGCATTTTAAGCAAAAAGTTTTGCTCTGAGCAGATTAGATGTTACAGTGTTTAAAATGCCAGTGACTTCTTGGAGGCCAGTCTACACTAGCATTTCCATTGTTACAACTCCACCATTTGAGTTGAAGGTGTGCTAGTAAAAGAGAGGCATTATTTTAAAA